GGGGGGGGGGGGGGGGGGGAGTGATGAATGATGGAGGAGGAAAATATGGCGTTGAGGGAAAAAGAGTTTCGAGTCAGATTACCTTCCTCATAACAATCAACGCAGGGGGGCAGAGTGTAGAGATTACGCCCGAAAAACGGAATTATAGTCGAAATACTAGTAACCAGAGCACTGACCGGCGGTAAATACAGGAGAGGGATGAAAACACTCCGAAACGACGTGTGTTCAAAGTAGTAGCCTTGGCAGACACGTGCAGTTCTCCTCTGTTGCTACCGTTTCTGCCTTTTGCCCGGAGGATAGCTCAGGCTCTTCCATGACACGCTCTCACGGGGTCCCAGATCAGGGCCTTGAGAAGGATATACTTTCTGTTTTCAGCCGCATTGAGACTGAGGTCTTTTGGTTGGCTAGTCGTTGTTCTTGCTTTTGAAAGCTTGGTCTTCTCTCTAGCTTTTTATTGAAGGAACAGGGGAGTTGTTTTTTATCTTCTTCACCCCTTTCGATTGCATCTGCTTTCGTTGTGCTCATGTGAGGAGCACTCATCCACGTTGTTGCTCCGAGTGTACATCGGGCGCGTGCATGAGCGTCTTTCTTTCGCTGTCGAGGGGTGCCTTCCGAGGGTACCTGAAATGTGCTACGGCCTTCTTGCCACAACAATACAGTAGGTCATTTGATAGCGAGGTGCCTTTTGATCGGGCAGCAAGGTCTACGGTTTAAAGCCGGCGGCGACGTTCTCTACCGTAGGGTGTGCTCTGAGGTGGGAAGAGAACCATGGTGCAACAAATGTATCTAATCAAGTTAAGCTGAATGTGAACAAAGCCATGTTTTCGATAGGCTAGCAGCCTCACGAAACTTCAAGAAGCCCGCCCACGTCGCCCACCTCACAATTGATCCGTGTACCGTTCGTTTGGTACTCTTTCAGCTCCGCCAAACGCAAGTGCTGCACCCTGAAGTCGAGCAGTCCTCACCAGTGCCAAGCCGGCAATATTGAGGATTTTATTTACCCTGTATGGTGCCGACTTGGCACTATAAAGGCACAATTCTGAATAGTGCCGGTGGGCGGTATAGTGCAGGTCCACCCCCCTGGACACATACCAGCACTATACCGTGACACCTACTGTACTGCTGTAAGGCCTCCCAAACTTTCGTGCCAAACTCCAGAATTTAGATTACGTTTTCCCTTGTGCCCTGCCGCGTGCAAGAAGCACGCAACGCAAGCATGAGGGTTGATCAAGCTAGCTCGTCCTGTTGCCAAAATAGCCCTGGAACAGCTCTGCAACGAAGAGGGTGGCTCCACAGAAGGAACAACGTCTGTCTGTCTGGGTTTGCCTGTGTTGAGTCTTGAGACAGCTCGCGAAGAGACCATTTCCGACATTGCCACCCCAGTCACCGCTTCACGCGCGCCGAGGTGCGACTGGATGTACTTGTACTTGGAAGTATCGAGTACTGCAGCTTCCAGGGTCGCGAGGGGGGGGGGCGTACTCATATTTGCATGCATTAGCGGTTAGGCCATAATACTGTACGTTTTGGGTCAGAAAGTAGCGGTTAGACCATATCACGGTTGGACCATATATCGCTTTTTGTCCACAAGTGACGTGTTCCGTCTGTCTGAGAAGGCTGAAACCCGGGCACCATGACGATATCTTAAGCATGCAGTATATGCCTAGATACGGGCGTTTGCTTTCGTCCGGCTTGGAGGGTTGCGACGGGTCCGGAACGCGTTTCGTTGGCCACCCAGATTTACCCGCCACCGTGAGAAGAATCGACCACCATCACCCACCCACCCACCCACCCGTGACTCGTATCGCCACCAATAAACACCAACACGCTACAATCGGACCCCGTTCGCTCTGCTGAATCGTCACAGCACCAGCGCTTTTCATGCAGCACCGTTTTGCCCCTGTCTCACGCGCGTCTTGTTGTCGCTGTCGTTGTCGTCGTTGCCGTTGTCGTTCAGGACCAGCTGGCCAATCAGCACTCTTCAAGCAGAGACCGGTACAGCGTGATCTCGTTCAACGATGCAGCCAAGGTCCAGCTGAGGGGGAAGTCTATGCAAGGGAGGAATCTATACGCACTGAGGAAGGTAAGAGGAGTAATTTGTTTGGCGGTTGGCAGGTTGAAATGCGTGTGCGTTTGTGTGTGCTGTGTGTTTGGGTTATTGCCGTTGAGTCGCTGTCGAAACGCGTGCATGCCTTAGCCACCGCTCTGTTGCGATCTGCCACGTTGGCAGGTGGGTCGTCTAGCGTAACAGCCGCTTCAGAAAGTAATCGGGGTGACAGGGTCCACGGATCCACATCATGTTTCGCCAGTCGTCTTGAAGTGCTCTCACACCGGGATGGGTGGGTATGTGTGGGTGTGTGGGCTAGCCTCTCACGGGCGGCTGAAGTGAAGAAGACTGGCTTTGTTCCGTCCCTCCTAACCGCGAACCGCATAACGTAACCTCACGTGTTGCAGCAGCAGCAGCAGCAGCAGCAGCAGCAAACCACCAGTAATCAGGCATGAAATACATATTGCGCTTGATTGCATATGGTCTCCAGAGAGCCTTCAAGCTTGACTCGCTGCGCTTCCGGCTCTTCGCATGAGGTAGTGAAGCTCTCAACCGGCCATCACTCCACACCGACTTTCGTCCATCCCAAAGCCCTTTAAAAAACAGCAGGCAGTACTCGACAAAACCCGGCCGCCACCACTATAGGACCTAGTCACTCGTGCCTGACATGCGTGCAACAACTATCGCGTGTGCCGCGTCGCAGGACCTAGAGGCGAAGATCAGGCCGACGCACGGCACCGCCTACGAGGAAGGGCTGTCGAGCGCGTGGGACGTCGCCTCTGGAGGAGTCAACGACGCCGGGGAGCAGTTCGTCCTCATCTTCTTGTCCGATGGAAGGGTGAGTTGGTTGAGTGACCCTATGTAGGCTCTTCTTTTTTTTTTTTTTCTCGTACCTTGGCTACTACTGCTGCTGTGTCATGTTTTTTTCGCGATTGTTTTCTCTTTGGCGGGGAGTTTGCCCCAGCAACCCGGTGTGGATATAACTTTCGATTTATTTTTTATTTTTCATGCCTGAGGCGAAAGAGTCACTTCTGTACACCACCAAGTTGCGTTTGATACACGTCGTCCCCGTGCCGTTGTTCTTTGCGTGTAAGAAGGAGCGCCTTGTTTGAGAGGTCATCAAGTATGTCTAGAAGTAAGTCGCTTCTGGACTGAAATCGCTTCTAGACGCAAGTCGGTCCGGGTATGCTGAGGAAACTGAGAAACGGATCAGCTTCGAAAACTGCCAAGGCAGGGAAAGAGAGAAACAGAGATCAGGAGCGGGTTTGGTGACAGCGAAATTCCGGGAATGGAAATCACACCGGCCACAGCAGCATCAGCATCATCATCGTCATCATCATCATCAGCAGCAGCAACAACAACATCAATGACCGTTCATCCTTTGCCATACATCCAAATAGTAAATAGCAATTAATCAATATGTTCTACGTATGACCGCTTCGAAGCACGCTTCACGACCGAGTACAACCGCCGTCGCCCACAATACAAAACGAAACAACAAGCGATGAAAAACCAATAATGGAACAGCCGAGCGACATGAACGCGGCGTGCAAGAGGGAGCAGGCGCCGGCGTACTGGCTGCGGACCATGCGCGAGCGCTTCCGGCGGCGGCTGACCTTCCACGGCGTCGGCGTGGGGCCGGAGGACTTCGGCCTGCTGGAAGACCTGTGCGCCGTGGCGGAGGTGAGAAAGAAAGAATACAAAGAAATAAGTGGGTGGGTGTGTGGATGGGTTTTCTTTTCTTAGCATCGACTGCTCTAGCCGTCTGACCAATGACAAGACGTCAGTCTCAGTGCGGCTGAAAACATAAGCTGCTTCTTCCAAACGTCATGATCTGGGGCTCCGTGGAAGGCGTCAAGGGGGGAGGCTGAGCTACTGTCAAGAAGATAGCGGCTGCGCCTGGTGTCTGTATACTGCTGCGCCGAAGTATCCTCTGAGAATGTAAACGCCCCCCCCCCCCCCC